AGCACACACACAAAAACTTTATGTCCCCCCAGACTGAAAACAATTCTCCTTTCCTGCTCAAGTCCATAATGGTAGATTAAGGAGTCTTTTCTTTATTTGTTCATTTGTATTCTGCATTATCGCTTTTTCCCCCATTGATTTTTTCCTCGTTCTCCTGACTTCATATGGAAAAACAGAAACTGCTCTGATTTTTTCCCCTGGTTTAGACTCTCGTAACTTTCCACGGTTTTAGTAAAGTTCATCTGATAAGCTTCGTACATGTGGTACTTACATTACAGTAGCACTCTCCTGTAGACTTGTTACAAACTGGACTCAGATTCATCCCCACTTCACATTTACACGGACCACAGACGCCTATACTTGAAGCACCAAAGTACTTATCTCGACAGGGTATCTCCATGCGAACCTCACAGAATTCCCCTAAGAAACTATACAAAACATTAACACTCTAAGTTTAAGTGAAACTTAAGTTCAACAGTGAGAGATTTGCGTTGCATATCGTTAACTAGTAAATTCGCCCCACAACAAGTTCGCGCGTAATCACCAGTACCAGTTCGCCCACAAATCATTGAAATTTTTTTTTATTTAATGGAAAAAAAAAATGAAAAAAAAAAAAATCCACTAACCAGTGTACTGTTGAGAACAAACACATCGGAATCCCTTTCCATGGTTTGAACTTTCACATTTGCCATGTCGGCACGGCTTAAGAGAACATACGCGCACGCAGTGTTTACCAACGCAACCGACAGGACATGTGCATTTGTGAGAGTCGAATTCCTTTTGACACGTGTTGTAGTCTGGACAAGGGTTCGATGAGCAGTGGCTTCCTATTTTCTCTTCACAACCAGATGGATGCTGTTTTGTGATTGACTCCAGAGTTCATGTTGATCTCAGTGCTCCCGACAAAAATCCCTACGGATAGGGAAAGAGGGAGGTTAGTGTCTCCTCATATAAACGGGTAGCCGAGGTGGACCATTTCCGAGAGGCCTCAGCCTCTGCTTTAAAACGAGCCCAGATACGATACTTCTCATAGGAAAAGAAATTACTTTGCAAACGAAGCTATTTTCACAAAAAAAGTAGTCGGAAATGGCCTAATATTCATACATCCACTATTGCCATGCTCACTCCAATAGCACAGTTCCAGCCCTTACTACATAAACAAGCACGCACGAACACACATGCACACGCTTGTACGCACCTGCTCGCACACGTACACGCACGTGCGCACGCACATACGCACTCGCAATATCGCTCCAAACCTAACGTTTAGTCTGTCTTGCCTTTCTGTGATGTTTTTTCATGTAAATTATTAACAAGTAATAACATGATTTATCATGCAATTTGGTTTAATAAGCAATTATAAATTTTTCAAAGACTACGAAGTTCACTTGCCCCACAGCTCGTGCAATTTTGTGGAGCGTATTAACACCAAATTGCACTCGAAATCATGTTATTACCTATACTCATTAACAACTATCTTTTCCTCCAAGCTTCGGAAAATCGATCAGTGCATTGTTGCTAATCTAATACCTAGAGCAGGCTACAGAAACATTAACCTAACAGTTTAACTAGAGGAATTTGTTAGAAAAGCATACCTTGTTTACAGCCTTTACATCCACCATACACTGCAGACTTGGTAGAATTCTTCCTCGCTCCCATGAAAAACTGTCAGACAACTCCAAGGTCTTTTCCTCTGTATGCATCTGCAGAAACTCTCTGTAGATGTAGTCCATTGTTATGTTAAGGGAACATCTGTCCAGAGGACCTCAATGTGATGCCACTGGGTATCATTCACCGCTATGTGAGGCAATTGGAGAACCAACAGCTCTTTGTAGTTGTATTACAGTTTACCATCAACCAACTGAAATAGAAACGAAGTTCACGTAAGTATAAGAACGTTTAATGACTTCTAAAACATGTACCTTGATTTACATAACTTACCTCCAACACCGAAGATGATGATGAAAAAGAGGTTTCAAGCAGAGATCCTGAAGGCTTGGCTGTGCGGAATCTCATTGAAACACTCCACGGAAGATTGACCTTTGAATTGGCAGGCACCCTCTTAAAACTCTGTCTTGAGAATCTTTCAGTGTATTTCGCACCTGTTGAACGAGGAAGTTTGTATGAATGGTTTCCATATAAGAACTCGTGAT